GATTGTTGACATTCTCTTGTTTGTGGTCATTTACAGTAACTTATAAAAAATGACTAAAAAATAAACTGAATTAAGAGAATAAGCTGTTGTAAATGCTGAAAATAGTTACCAGGGCGACATTTTTCTGGATTGTCGAATTATTTAAATGAGAAATACCAATGCAGCTTTTTTTTTTTAATATATTGTTATTAGAAAATATCTATTTTATTGTTATTTTTATTTTTAAATTTTGTTCTCTCTTTTTTCAGTTGCATTTTGCTTTTAAACAAAATAGCTGAATAAATACGAAGTAAATTGACATTTAATATCTACAGTTATTTACAAGTTAATATAAAATATATACATTCATTATTAATTTTATATCCAAATATATAGAACTTCAGGATTGTAATTATAATTGCGTTGTCTTAGCAACGCGCTGTTTACATTTGTACAAAATGAGATACAGATGCGGCTTATTTTACTGGCCTTGCGCACCGCTCATTAACACTCGACATCTTTAAAGGAAATAAAAATTCAAGCATTATATTGGAATCAAAATGAAACCAACAACCAGATGATCAAACAGAATTCCATAAATTAAATTAAAAACAATGGAAGAAAACGATAAACTCATTCTTTGGGCAATGAGTATGTAATGCTTTTTATCACAGCGAGGCGCTGTAATCATTTTGTCCGAAAGTGTTAAGAGTGGAAGGAATCTCTTTATAGCATTTCTTTGTGGTAAGCACCAGATTTCTGTCCATTAAATTAGAACTATATTAATAGTTTACTAGGAAAACCCTTCCAGTATGCTTGTCGTATTTAAACTATTATATTTTTGTAATACAATATATACAACGGTATTGCAAATATATACGTAACTATAATATATTGGTAATACCGTTGCTGCCAATTCTTTTATATTTTCCGAAATATTTTAAATTTAAAGCTATAGCGACACTTTTGCTTTTCTGTTTAAATCTTTGATTTAAAAATTAGGTTTAAAATGATTTTCAGCATCGTTACACAGGAATAAAACATTTATAATAATGCATAATAATCGTCCGAGGGTGTTATTGGACTATGGCAAAATATAAAAATATTTTTTCTTTCGATTGATATTTCAAATTTTATTTCACTACCACTAAAAAAATCAATCTTAGAAGGAATAAAAAAAGTTGGCAGCATTTGTCAATGGGATAGCACAGCACTGACATTATCCTGAAAAGGGGGAAAAAATTGAAGTTAAAGTGATTGTCCTCGGTAGTTTCAGAGAAATAACAAAAAATTTCATCTAATGGCATCAGAGCTGTCATCTTAACGCTGTATTCTTCTTTCAAAATCTTTGAAAATTTTAATTTTCAGTTCTATTTATTCCATAGCTTAATCTAATCGTTTGTTAAAATAGTTATGTACAGGTAAATACATGTCAGTTATTAATTATTCTCAATTTGATTGATGTATGTATTTAATGTATGGAAAATATTTTTCAAATAAAAGAGATGGCCAGTACACTATATTAAAGAAAAAAAGAGTCGATTTTGGATTGAAATAAAAATTTGGTTGAGGTTTACAGCTGGTCGCCACTCTTATTTTTCCGATGTAAAACCGGAAAAAAAAAAGACTTGAAAGTGAGATTTTATAATAAGGAGAGATAGAATGTGTACAGTGAAACTCCAAAAATACAATCCAAACGGCAGCACTCTAACCAAAAATTTTTGAAATTTTTTATTCATTAATTTATTTTTTTAAAAAAATGTCAAAAGACAGGACAATATCGCGTTCATTGAATAAAAATTACAATATATATATATTAATTTTTTAATATTGCTAGTTTTCTCAAAATTCTATTGAACTTTTTAAAGTACTTCTGTGTTATTTATTTTAGAATAACATTAGGGGCACACCAACCTCAACGTTGTAATTTTTTTTTGTTGCTCTTGTTGATTATTATTACATCCTAGTTATCCAATGAAACGATACTAAAATGCACAAATACACATCTGGTTCCTTAAAATTCGATTACGATAAAACGGATCATTTCCCCATTCCAACTTCATGCCCAGATTCAATCTCAACTTTTAAAGTTTAATTTTTGGATATTATTAAAACTCAAATATTATTCGCCTAAGAGATTATTTATCAATAGTGCAAGAAGTTTATTCTTTATAGTGTCTTATCATGGTTTTTCCATTGTCTTTTCTCGTTCTTTGTTAGGAAAGAGAAATGAAAGTTCCATTATAAAGTTTTATGAAGTCGAAGTAAAATTTTAAAGCTGTAAATTCTTTGCGGAATTAAACTTCCGGGCATCAACGCTTAGTTTAGAATACAAATGTAGAGATAGATTTTTATTACAAAATAAAATGGAGGATGCCTAAAGAATGTGGTTAATAATAATTTTTGTTAATTATTTGGCTGTTTTAAGACATTAAAATGTATGAAACAGCGGGACATCTTGTAGAATATTATTCCTCTTCGCGGACTCTCTTTCGTTCAGTTCATGATTCACTACTAGAACTCCGCATAGTATTGGGAGTACAAATTAGTNATATATTAATTTTTTAATATTGCTAGTTTTCTCAAAATTCTATTGAACTTTTTAAAGTACTTCTGTGTTATTTATTTTAGAATAACATTAGGGGCACACCAACCTCAACGTTGTAATTTTTTTTTGTTGCTCTTGTTGATTATTATTACATCCTAGTTATCCAATGAAACGATACTAAAATGCACAAATACACATCTGGTTCCTTAAAATTCGATTACGATAAAACGGATCATTTCCCCATTCCCAACTTTTGCCCAGATTCAATCTCAACTTTTAAAGTTTAATTTTTGGATATTATTAAAACTCAAATATTATTCGGCTGAGAGATTATTTAGCAGTGCAAAGAGTTTATTCTTTATATTGTCTTAATACAAATTATCATGATTTTTCCATTGTCTTTTCTCGTTCTTTGTTAGGATAAAGAAATGAAGTTCCATTATAAGGTTTTATGAAGTCGAAGTAAAATTTTAAAGCTGTAAATTCTTAGCAGAATTAAACTCCCGGGCATCAACGGTTAGTTTAGAATACAAATGTAAAGATAGATTTTTATTACTAAATAAAATGGAGAATGCCTGAAGAACGTGGTTAATAATAATTTTTGTTAATTATTTGGCTGTTTTATAACTCATTTAAATGTATGAAACAGCGGGACATATATAGTAGTTATCTTGTGGAATATTATTTCGCTTCGCGAACTCTCTTTTGTTCAGTTCATGATTCACTACTACAACTCCGTGCCCTTCCATATTACTGGGAGTACAAATGAGTTCGGTCCGTTTTCAAAAGATGGTCCTGACTGTTATGAATAGTGACAGCTGGTTTTGGTGGTTTCAGAGAGGTTAGACATCTGTCTATAATATTCAATTTATATGGCTTTGAGTTTCATACAAAACCCATATTTTTAATTTGTTGAATATGTCAAATTTTGTGGTAACTAAGCAGCATTTGAGGGAGGTTTTCTGTTCCTGCTTTAATTTTAGGAAAAGTGCAGCTGAAGCTCCTCGAATGCTTGTAGAAGTTTATAGTGACAATGCTCCAGCTGATAAATCATGTAGGGAATGGTTTCCACGTTTCAAAAATGGTGAATGGCGTTGCATACTATGAACTGCTACAACCTGGCGATTCCATTACGGGTGATCGATATAGGCTACAATTTATTCGTTTGAGCCTTGAATTACGAGAAAAACAGTCGGAATAGAGCAAAGACATGCCAAAGTTAATCTTCTGCATGTTAAAGGTCGGCCTCATGTCGCAAAAGTCGTAAAAAATTAGTTTGAAATGCTCAAGTGGGATATTTTACCGCACCCGCCGTATTCATCGGACATTGCTCCTTCTGATTACTGGTTGTAACGACGGATGCAGCATGATTTTGAAGGTCACCGGTTCACTTCTTTCGCAGAAATAAAAAATTGACTCTTAACTTGGATCGCCCCAAAAGACGAGACATTTTTTCGAGATGGAATTCGAAAATTGCCTGAGAGGTGGGAAAAAGTAGTAGAAAGCGATGGACAATACTTTGATTAATCTGTTCATTCATTTTGCTCTGAAACAAATGCATTTTTAACCGCAAAATAAAACGGACCGAACTAATTTGTACTCCCAATAAGTATTGGAAAGCTGTTAGTGCACATTTAAACCGAAAATTTTTGGATTTTTACATTTTCTCATTTTTATGGTCATTTTGTGTTTTTAATAATCTTCGAAAATTACATTCAAATAGTCCCAGGTTTAGCTATTTTATCATAATTAAATGAGACTTAATGTTAATTTTTTTTTTGCGTATTTTGCTTTATTTCGAGAATTTGTTAAGCGAATCGAAACATTTNCCGAAAATTTTTGGATTTTTACATTTTCTTATTTTTATGGTCATTTTGTGTTTTTAATAATCTTCGAAAATTACATTCAAATAGTCCCAGGTTTAGCTATTTTATCATAATTAAATGACACAAACATTTTTGCTACATTTATAAAATTTGTTTATCCATATATAAGTCGATGCTATAATAATAATAATAATTTTTAATAATTATTTTTTTTTATTTAATAAGAGTCTAAAACATTTTGAATTGTAAGGTTGTTTAAATCATTCATTTTAAAGAATGTCACAATACAAAATTTGTAAGAGGAAAAAATTGGTTTTAAAATATAATGTTTTCAAGCACTCTTTAGGAAACCCACTTAGGACTCGTCTAAAATCATCTTTTTTGAACTAGACTTTCAAAATCTAGCAATTGAGGCAAAAACATCAAAACCAGTTTGATTGCTTGAAGATGTTCAAAACTTTTCCATTAGTCAAAAAAATATCTTCCATCAACAGCCATCTTCATTATTATTGTTTGGGAAAATGCTGCTTTTGTGCCCGAATTGTCTAATTTTAAGTAGTGCATTTGAATCCACAATGACTACTCGCATTTTTGAGTTGTAAGTATTTATTTATTTATTCATCATAAAATGTTTGTATTTTCGTCAGGTGCATATGCTCTAGGCGTGACACCATCCTGGTGGGTGTTGTGTTGACGTTGGCATTTGTGTTGATCACCACATCATTAGTTCTGGGTCTTCCACAAATAGAGGTGAACAGAGAACGTTACTTAGACACATCATTCCAAGCCTCATCATCCCCCCTCCTAACTTATCAATCGGCTGCCCTCCTCACAGATGGACAACCCTGTGCTCCTATCGGAAAGTAAGTTTTCTTCAATTGTTTTCTTTCTTTTTTTTGGTAGGTGGTGTCAGGTACGAAGGTATACTTACAGGTTGTTTTAAAAAGCCGTTGCCTGATTTCAACTTCCCATGTATTATTTACACTGGTGTTTAATGTTAAGATGACTTTTTTTTTATACTATTGTTATTTTAATGTAAAGGGCGTCATTGTCCAGTATATATTTGATCATTTTTTTTCTTTACATTGATGTTTTTTAAAGCTTAAAGTCATCGCTCAGTATTCCTAACTCTGATTTATTTATTTTTCTTTAAATTTAAGGGGGCAAGTATTACCTGCACTTGCATTTTTTTCTAATCTAAATTGTAAAATTCGTAGCAAACGAAGAAAAAAAATACAGTTCTTCCCAGTCACTTTAGTAGAAATATCCAAGCCAAATGCTGAACTATGTCACTTGACAAATATAGTTTAATAAATCTCCGTAATTTTGTGGCAATTAGTTGTTTATACTACTCCTATTGAATATCCTTATTCTTATTCTATTCGGCAGGTAGGTGGAGTGTATAGCTTTATTGTATTAAAATAAATAAATAAATGTTACAAACGGCGCAATGCTTTTGAAATCTAATTTGTTATTATATAATTGTTTTATTTATGTGTTATTTCCGATTTCCCTATGTTGAAATCGAAAATAAATTCTGTCTTAGAAAAATTCAGAAAAAAATGTAGACCTGCATACCTTAACTGCAAAAGGTATGATACAATTCACTTCCCAGGAGGAAATTTGGATTACAAGAGCCAAGTTTAGCACGTTTGTTGTTATGCAATCTAGCTTCTCTTATGGTTTCTTTTTCAGGCAGACTTCAAATTATCTGTGCAAAAATCAATCACCTGTTAATAGTTTATTCTAAAACTGACAATCTTTTAAACGTAGTAACAATTAAAAAAAAAGCAATATGTAAAAAAAATAAGAAATACACTGATTGCGCAGAAAACAAAGAATTAATTCTTAACCATTTTCAAAATTTGTTACATAATTCGTTTACAGATGACGTTGCTTACCGATAAACACTTCAAAGCCGTAACATGACAGACTATTCCATCTGGAGTGTTTGGTCTGTGTCACGTTGTTGCTGCAATTATGGTCAGTTTGAAAACATTGTATTTGAGTTCTCCAGTCAGCATCATCATGTGTTGACGAGCGTTGTTACAGGGTGAGATTTAATAGTGAAGCAGAAGACAGTAAACCGTTACATCATGTTAAAATTCTTACTTTTAAAATTGTAACCCACTGCATAATTAAAAAAGTGGATGTAAATACTGCTTTAACCCTTCATGGTCTTGGAAGTATATCAAGTCTACTTTAAATCAGGCAGAATTTCAATAATGTCCATTATAATTATTAATATATATTAATATTTATGACGTTTATAAAATGATAAGAATAAGTGATTTGTTCAATACCGCTTATACGGTGGTCTGTTAACCTTTTGCTTACGGCTGTTACAACATGTGGACCACATCTGATGGTGCACCGTAAGCATAAGGGTTGAGGATTAATATCAGTAAAGTATAACGTTAAGCATTTAGAACGATAAACCATCGAAAAATAAATTATAATAATCATAAACTTTTCTTATCCAATTGTTTTAAATTCTTTGAATTATTTCTAAAAAAAAAGTTTGCAAAAGTTTTTTCCAAAGGTAGTCATTAAAAAAACAAAAAAGTAGCCGCCTTTTCTACTTGTAATTTTCACGTATTTTTTCACTCTCTTATCTGTCAGAAGGAAGAAGTTCGAAATAAATGTTGTAATCTTTATAAACAATGGGAAATTTTTTTTTAATCTGCACGAGTTTTTCCCAATTCGATTGTCTTTGTTTATATAACCTTTTTCTCTTCATGTCAATTAAACAACACAATAATGGAAGTCTTTTAACAGCCTTTTGTTTATTGGATTGCTTTAGAAGGCACCAGATGTAGTAATTCACCTTGATTAAGTCATTTCTGGTCTAATGATCGTATTTTCACCTACCACATTTCATGACTAAGTCTTAATGGTTTAAAAAGTTGACTTCAACTATGCTAATTATTAATTTAGGTACGAAATCAGACGGAAGATAGGACGCCGATAGTTTTGTCCAGAGAACAATCTAAAGTTAGGGATTCTTAATGTTAGAGATCCTTTATGCGATTTTGTTCATATCTCTAAAAATAATTGCGTAATTTAAAAAAAAGAAAACTTTTGCATCAACTTATGAAACTTGTTTACTCAAAAATAATCTGGCGAAGAAAATTTTTTTTTTTTAAATTATAGTTCAACAATTTTTATTATTTTATTTAAATGTTATAGAAAAAGTATGAATTGTACGGCTTAGAAATTTTTACATCATTTTAGAATACATCATTTTTGCATTCATGCATTTAGAATGCATCATTTTTCCGTAATTTAAAAAAAACTTTTGCATCAAATTATGAAACTTGTTTACTCAAAAATAGTATGACGAAGAAAAAAAAAATTTTTTTTTTAATTATTGTTCGATAATTTTTACTATTTTATTTAAATGTTATCGAAAAAGTGTGAATTGTACGACTTAAAAATGTTTACATCTTTTATATTAAGTAATTTTCAATGACAAAGTTGAACGAAATCAATCGAATAGTTTTGGAATGAAATTTTAAAATTGCGATTTGTTTTTAGTAAATAAATTCAAAACAAAAGTTTTTCAAGGTGATATAATCTTTTATTTATTTACAATTGGGGAGAGGAGTAGTCTAAAAGTAAAATTATTCACATGGGGATTTTAATAACTGCTAAAGTTTTTAATTAGTTGATAGTTAATGTGTCAAATATTTCTTAATATTTTGAGAGGGTTCTGCTATACGAGTTCCCTTGATATTATTCATTATTATAATTCTCCATTATTATATTATATTTATCTTTAAATAATTATGTGCGATCTCTGATATGTTATTTTTGACAGGAGTTTTTAAGTTATGGCTGGGTTTCCGATAAGTGTGGAAACTATTAAATATTCCGAGATATTGCATCAGATGATAAACTATGTGTGTGAAATATTTTTAAAAGTTGCATCTGATGATTCTGAACTCAACCCGTCTTCCCTTTGGGTGTGGGGAGGTACTTAAATTTTAAATAAAAGCCCTCACTTTCTTTTTTTTAATCTCAGAATTATCTCCAGTTTAATTTGTAGTTTATTTCATTTTAAATTGCAGATGTCGTTAAAATTGTTTAAAATAGAGATATCCAATGCTGTACTTGGAAAAAAAAATATTTGGGGGAACTCACCTTTTTATAGGGTATGTGTGTCATGTTGTCAGGACATTGTTAGCCTCAAAAATGATCCGTTTAAATTACTTAGCTTTATTGATAACAACTATTGTAAAAAAAAAATTNAGTGATTTGTTCAATGCCGCTTATACGGTGGTCTGTTAACCTTTTGCTTACGGCTGTTACAACGTGTGGACCACATCTGATGGTGCACCGTAAGCATAAGGGTTAATATCAGTAAAGTATATAACGTTAAGCATTTAGAACGATAAACCATCGAAAAATAAATTATAATAATCATAAACTTTTCTTATCCAATTGTTTTAAATTCTTTGAATTATTTCTATAAAAAAAGTTTACAAAAGTTTTTTCCAAAGGTAGTCATTAAAAAAACAAAAAAGTAGCCGCCTTTTCTACTTGTAATTTTCACGTATTTTTTCACTCTCTTATCTGTCAGAAGGAAGAAGTTCGAAATAAATGTTGTAATCTTTATAAACAATGGGAAATTTTTTTTTAATCTGCACGAGTTTTTCCCAATTCGATTGTCTTTGTTTATATAACTTTTTCTCTTTATGTCAATTAAACAACACAATAATGGAAGTCTTTTAACAGCCTTTTGTTTATTGGATTGCTTTAGAAGTGGAAAGCACCAGATGTAGTAATTCACCTTGATTAAGTCATTTTTGGTCTAATGATCGTATTTTCACCTACCACATTTCATGACTAAGTCTTAATGGTTCAAGTTTAAAAAGTTCACTTCAAATATACGAATTATTAATTTAGGTACGAAATCAGACGGAAGATGGGAAGCCAATAGTTTTGTCCAGATAACAATCTAAAGTTTGGGCGACGCTGTTCCACCGCCGTGGCTTCGCCACAGGTGCCCACTGGGTAACGAAAAGAGAATTAGCAGTTCCGGCACTTTCTGTGGCCANAAAAAAAAAAAAAAAAAAAAAAAAAAAAAAAAAAAAAAAAAAAAAAAAAAAAAAAAAAAAAAAACAATCTAAAGTTAGGGATTCTTAATGTTAGAGATCCTTTATGCGATTTTGTTCATATCTCTAAAAATAATTGCGTAATTTTTTAAAAAAAATAATAACTTTTGCATCAACTTATGAAACTCGTTTATTCAAAAATAGTTTCACGAAGGAAATTTTTTCTTATTGTTGTTAATTTTATTATTTTATGTAAGTGTTATCGAAAAAGTGTGAATTGTACGGCTTAGAAATTTTTGCATAATTTTAGAATACATCATTTTTGCATTCATACATTTAGAATGCATAATTTTTTTTACAACATTTTTGTGTAATTTAAAAACTTTTGCATAAATTTATGAAGCTTGTTTACTCAAAAATAGTTTCACGAAGAAATTTTTTTTTTAAATTGTTGTTCAATAATTTTTATTATTTTATTTAAATGTTATCGAAAAAGTGTGAATTGTACGGCTTAGAAATTTTTACATCATTTTTGCATTCATGCGTTTAGATTGCATCAGTTTTTTTACGTCATTTTTGCGTAATTTAAAAAACACTTTTACATCAATTTATGAAACTTGTTTACTCAAAAATAGTTTTACGAAGAAAAATAATTTTTTTTAATTGCTGTCCAATAATTTTTATTATTTTATTTAAATGTTATCGAAAAAGTGAGAACTTTACGACTTAGAAATTTTTACATCATTTTATATTAGGTAATTTTCAATGACAAAACGCCTAATTTGAACGAAATCGATCGAATAGTTTTGGAATGAAATTTCAAAATTACGACTTGTTTTTAGTAAATAAAATCAATACAAAAGTTATTCTAGGTGATATAATCTTTTATTTATTTACAATTGGGGAGAGGAGTAGTCTAAAAGTAAAGTTATTCACATTGGCATTTTAATAACTGCTAAAGTTTTTAAATTTGTTGATAGTTAATGTGTCAAATATTTCATAATAGTATTTTGAGAGGATTTTGCTATACGAGTTCGCTTAATATTATTCATTATTATAATTCTCCATTATTATATTATATTTATTTATACTCCCTCGCTTAAATAATTATGTGCGATCTCGGATATGTTATTTTTGTCAGGAGTTTTTAATTTATGGCAGGGTGTCCGAAAAGTGTTAAAAAAGTGTCCGAAAACTATTAAATATCCAGAGATATTGCATCAGATGAAAAACTGTGTGTGTGAAATATTTTTAAAAGTTGCATCTGATGATTCTGAACTCAAGCCCTCATCCCTTTGGGTGTGGGGTGGTATTTCAATTTAAAATAAAAACCCTCACTTTCTTTTTTTAATCTCAGAATAATCTTCAATTTGATTTGTAGCTTATTTCATTTTAATTTGCAGATGTCGTTAAAATTGTTTAAAATAGAGGTATCCAGCGCTGCAGGTGAAAAAAAAAATATTTTGGGGAAACTCGCCTTTTTATAGGATATGTGTGTCGTGTTGTCACGACATTGTTAGGCTAAAAAGTGAGTTTTTTAAAAGTGACAAGCTTGAATTATAACAAGTAATATAAAAAAAATTACTTAAGTCAACAACGAAACATTTTATTTTAGTTACTTTTTATTGAATAATAATAAGTTTTTCTCCCATATAAAACTAAAATTAATGAATTAAATTTAATGAATGAATTAATATTTGAAAAAAACTGTATTAACATCAAGTGTTATCACAAGTTTAAAAATATGTATTTGAAGTTGAGTTGAAGAGTAAAAAGTATTTTATAAACGATTGAAAATGTGAACAAGATATAGGGAAGGTGTGAACTAATAGTAGGAATTGAACAAATAATTTTAACCCCTAGCAACACACCTGTGTTTAGCTTTTTTCCGTCCTTAAATATTTTATTTTATTTTATAACCGTCGTTGAACAGCCGACCCAATTTCATAGGTTTACGACTACTTACGTTCAACTCCGTAGCCTTGTAATTTTGAACCAATCCAGAAGACAAGGAAACTCCTGGATCAGTACCCCCAGAGGTATTGATTTGTTGTGGGAACATGGAGGACTTTGAGACTCGACAGATTTAACGTGCATCAGTCACCATTTACTACACGGGGAGTCTTGGGCCGGCGAGGATATTTTATGTATGCTTGATAAACTTAACGATTTGATTAAAATCAGTTCGGAAAATATCAGAAAGCATTTTTTCAGAGGTGGCCGCCACCCTTTTGAATACCTTTTATAAAAATATTTCACCCCTGTTTTTTTTTTTAACCTATTGGCAGAATGGGTCTTGGTTTTGATTTGATGGCGTCCACACACTTTTCAACTGTGCTCAACAGTAATAGTAAACAGTGCGCATGCGTTACTATGGCGACCGCTGTTGTTTTTATTTTCACCAGCAGTCATTCTTAATGTATTTACATAATAATAATTTAAAGTATTTTGATATTCTTTTTAATTATTAACGTATAATGACTGTCTTGACGGTTATTTCAATATAAATATGAATACTGAAGAAGTAAAAGTATTTTGTGACGTCTTGAAACACGTACAGAGGCAGGATTTGAAAATCAAATCCGACGACAAACATCCATGGAGACAGTTTTAGCAACCCATGATTTGAAATGTTTAAACGGAGTCAATCCAGAAAGAAAGAAAAAGCATTTGACCAATGGGAAACCAGTGATCGTAATTAGGCGATCACAACTATTTTGTTGATTTTTTATTTATTTTATTTATTTATTCTTTTTTTTTTAAATTTATTTATTTGGAAAAATTTATAGATTTTTTCCTATTTAAGTGTTATTTCTCGAATGTGTTTCCAGTGTATATAAGTGTTAATTTCTTGAATAGGAATGTTCTTCAGAACGGAGGAAGTGCGGTGGATGCAGCTATTTCAATGTTGTTCTGTGGGTGTGTGGTCAATCCTCAAAGTATGGGGCTTGGGGGAGGATTCCTCATGGTCATCTACAACAAGTAAGACTCTAGTATTATTTCGCACGTTTTAGTGATTACTAACAACTAACTTCAATTTTTCCTTCTTTTTTTTTTTACTATTGCTGTAAGATAATTTTCAATCAAAATCTGAAAACATAAGTAGGATTTTGTTTATCAATTTAAAATATATTTTATGTATTTTATTAATAAAGCAATTAAATTATATTAAAATAAATAAATGTCAAAAAAAGTTTTCTTCCAAATGGAGATAACTATGGAAAAGGCCAATTTAAAAGTATATTAGAAAGAGATCTACTTTCTTTTGTCTTCCAAATAGATTGCATTCAAGCAAAATCACTAAGAGGGCTCTATAATTGTTTAGAAACTAAATTACGTGAAGACTCGGGGACTAACCAGAGATAATTATGCATCCATGTTGTTCCTCATTATAACAGGAAAAAAAAGAATCCATCAAAGTTCATGTCAATAATCTGTATTTTTTGTAAAAAAATATTTCATGTTGTATCCAGTTTTATTGTGAATAACATTTAGAGGTAAAATCAAGAATTTTTGTCTGCTTCTGGTTTGTAATTTAATTTCTAAACACATTACTTCTCTAATTATGATTAGATTAAACTAATTATATTCACTAATTCTATTAAGTTTAGTCTAGATAATTGGCTAAACATTAAAATTTTGTATTAGTTTATGTATTCATTCATTAAATCAAATAGTCAATTTCATCGTACAAGCGATTTTTTTCTGATTTGACTCAAATCGCTAATACTTCTTTTTATGTTCATATTATTAACTAAAAGAGAATTCATGATTTTTAAAAAAAAAATTTAATGCTAATTCACATTTATGCTTTAAAAGGAGATTTTGATTTCAAAAATCTAGTAATTGGGTAAAAAATTTTCTCCATTCGCTGTGATGTTATTAGGCTCAAGAATTTTACTAATCATATTAAACGTTCGATTTCCTTAAAGTCAATAACATTTTTTTACATCTTCTTATTCTGATTTTTAAACTCAATCACATCTATTGAGGACATAAATTACGGAGTTCTTAGATATCCTGATATATTTCAGACGATATGGGAAATTAGAATTGCGCTTTTGACCATTTACTTTTTAAGTCAATGATTCTATCAATTTTTTTTGGCAGTTATTGCTTTTGATTTCCACAAAGTTTTTACAACCCGATATTTTTTTAACGATATTATTTATTACAACAATCAAATCTTGAAACGAAACATGCATTTGAGTAACTCCTTTAACTAATATAATCGACTTTTCATTGGTTTTGCGACATGGTGCATATTCCCCATTTCGATTTTAAGTTATCAAGTTTCGACGCTTTCGATTTCTTGTCGATTACATCGCAATTTCGCATCGTTTAATGATAACTTTTACTAAAGTTATTTATTATTTCTTTCGGCCGTTCTCACGTGGTTTTTCAAATTTCGATATTTTTAATACGATGTTATCACGACATGCGAATTTCGATTTAGAATTATCACTTTTTAACGCATTCGATTCTTTACGATTCAATCTTAATGTCGTGATATTTGGTGATCGTGTTTTTAATCAGTTAATGATAGATTTTTCAGACGGCTTTTCAAATTCTATTTTTTTTTTAAATTTTTAAACCACCTAAAAAAGACTACTAAAATTAAAAGTCGAACATATTTATGAAGTGAAATTTCGTGAAGGGTCGTTTCTACGAATTTGAATTTTATGGAGGGGCCGTTTTTATAGTATTTGAATGGTGCAAAGAGGCTTCAAAACGTCCCAAATATCCATCATGATCGACTCCTGATATCAGTTCCGTAAATATATAAATTTTTTATAATAAATGGACATATATATTGCATTTTTTTAATCCTTTATTTTTATTTCACGTTATTTTATTGATTACATTTAAAGATTTTAGGAGATAGTTACATAATTTGCTTTCCCCCTCTTTTTTCCTGTATGTTTTTGCCGGGTTTTTTTCACTCTCAATTATGTTTATATCTCTAATTTATTTTTTGTTTTATAGTAGAGAGAAAAATAAATTGAGTTTTTATTTTTTTAAACATCCTGTACTAGTATTCTGCATGTGTGTGATTTACCTTTACTATATGTTCCCTGTCGAGGTGATATGAAGACGATAAAGCTTGATTTTCGTATCGTTGATCATTTTACTTTTGATCGGATTTAATTCCTATTAATTTTAATAAAAATGTTTGGAATACTGATACTCTTGTTTCGAACACTTTTCTTCTGTTTACATACATTTCTAACAAATTTTTTAAATTAAATTTAGAATTAATCAGAATTAAAACGAAAATTATAGTTTTCTGTGTTTCCTAAATGAGACAAAACACTATTATTATTATTATTATTTTTTGAAAATATTTTTTTATATTTTAAGTTATATATTTTTATTGCCCTTAATGCCATTTTTATCTCTGATTGTAGTGTTATATTTTATAACTGATATAAAATGTAATGTATAACTTACAAAAATTAATTTTATGTGGTTTACTGTATATTTTGACCATGGCACTATCAGTAAATACTGTTATATTAGACTGAATTGTTATAAAAATACATCTGGAATACCTGGAAAAGTCAGGGAATTTTATCCTTTGATTTCAGTAGCAAAGCTGATTTAAAATTTTAATCATTGATGGGGTGCCCCCATTGGATTGATGATTAGGGCATCTGTAATGAATGAAGCTACATTAAAGAAATAGTTCCTTTTTATGAAAACACATTTATTTGGCAACCAGGTATAAACTAAACAAAATTAAAATCTATGCAAGGGGTTAGTAATAACCTTGCAAAATAAATGGAAAAACCAATGACAGGTTAGTATGAAACTTAAATTTAAACATGGTGCATTGCGTTTTTAAAAAGTGCTTAAAGATGCTTGTTTTTTAAAAGCTCTAAAACTCTTAAAAAACGAAGCTTTTAAAAAACGATATTTGATTTTTAAAAGCTCTTCATTGGGTGTTTCAAAAAGTGCTTGATTTTTCCTTTTTGAAAATGAGATTTTTTTTCCTTTACCATGTTGATTTTCCCCTCTTATTATGCAAAAGCGTGCTTTTTACATTGTTCTATTTAACGTTTTCACAATTCATTCAACAATCTATTTCAGTGTACTGTTGGTCCATGACATATGAAATCGCCAATCATTAAACATGTCTGATGAAATACTAGCGAATCCGCATGTGCGTCTACTGAGCTGCGTTCGGTGAGATTGTTGCGCTCTCATGTGCAACTCAGCTGCATTTTGCAAGATATTCTCAATTTAAGGCTTCATTCATTTTCCACTCTCAGATATCGAACCGAAAAACTCTTGATCATTTTGTCATGGCTGATATAATCAAGAAAAGAGTTCTTTGTCAGAAACTAGATTTTTTATCATGATCATGTAAAGTTTATGAAAATTATTTTGCATTTTGTTATTGTATATAGTGCTTAAAATATTTTTTGAGTGCTTAAAGGTCCTTCTTAAGTTATGTACTTAAAAGGTGCTTATTTTTTGTTGAAAGATTTGGCTACTCTCCCTTTTAAAACAAAAACTGTTTTCCTGAAAATCAACAATTTGCTGTTCTTCCATACATTGTCTCCTGTTTTTATTTTTAATTTATCTAGTTACTTGTTTTTCTTTTATTCAGGCTATTGTTAGCCATCTGTGTTTAGACTAGTTATTTGCAAATCACTAATCTATTTACCTAAAAATAAGTGTTATATTGTTGCTTGAAAGGTCTTTTCTAGAAGAAACAGTTTATATTGTAATGAAGACATACGAAAAAAAGATCTTAAAAATTATATTTGAATGACTTTTAGAACTAATTTTATATTAACCTTAGCACTTCATTTCGGATTCACCTGAAAACATTACTCTAATAATTATTTTTGTTCTTTAGAGAAACTAAAACTTCCACTGTAATTGATGCAAGAGAAACTGCTCCATCTCAATCTCACAAAGACATGTTTTTGGGGAACAAAACATTGTCCCAGGAAGGTAGACATTTTATTTATTTATTATGCTCTTATACTTTAAGAATTTCTTTTCTTTTTTTTTTTTACTTGCATCCTTATTAAGTTCTTTAATAAAGCTTTAGATATGTAATCATTGAATATACAATTTTCCAAAATATCTATAGAAACCTTTTTTTGTTTGACACATAAATATTCTTATTGCATTACCAATAGTACTTATTACCAAAATTAATTGAATATAGAAACCTCAGCGAATGTTATGTACAAGTAGTAATTGAAAGAGTATGCAAATTATGGGTGACTATTGAGCCTATAATAGGCAAATCCTAATTTTGCTTATCACTATTGGGGCCATTATTTTCATTTATAGTTCTTAAATCATTTTTGTCACTATGATTTTATAAGAAGTATGTGAGATAGATCAAGGAACTAATGTATCATTAAATTTTTAAAAAAAAGAACATAATAAATATTTTTATGTAAAAATCAGTTTAGCACAGGCCGCTGTAGAATTAATTTAAAGCTCAATTCCACAATTTTTCATTTAAATTTGTTTGTATGTATTCCCTAAAAAAGGAAAATTTCTATGACATTGTTATAAAAAGTGCAAGTAGTTAAGTGAAATAACGTATATGAAATATTAAGTGAACTCAATTTTACTTTAACTCCATTAAAAATGTATATTCTTGAAATATTTAGCAAATCAATTTTTTGTTTGTTATTTATTTCATAAAAATAGCACAAAATTTGGAGGAAAAAAATGCTTCTATTTTTCTGGCACTCTGAACTTCTTTGCCAGCTTCATGAAGTGAGAATTTTTCAAAAATGAGATGTTTTTTCCTTGGAATTCTGTAGTTTTTACCTTCTTTTTTTCTTTTTTTGGATAGGTGGACTATCTATAGCCATTCCAGGTGAATTAAGAGGCTATAAGTTGGCCCACGATAAATATGGAAAACTTCCCTGGAAAACGTTGGTTGAACCATCTGTAAAACTCAGCAAGGAAGGTTTTCCTGTCTCAAATCACTTGGCCAGAAAACTACAATTTTTAAAGAATCGTATCTTATCTGACGCATCCATGAGGTGAGTTTTTACTTTATTTCATGATAATCATTATCATGATAATCAGCTGTTAATTTTCATATAAGTCTCTCATTAGTCATATTTTTGATAGCAAATGAATTCTTTTAAATGAAAACACCACTGCTAAAATTTCAAAACTTTTTCATAATATGCATTTTTATGTCAATTTAAAAAGTAAAATATACAGCTTTCATAATTAGTAAATAGTATTTTCTCTAAACAGTAATTTTTTAGGTTTACAAATATAATTACTTTTTTGATATTCAACTGATTTTTGGTTAAAATTTAATAACCACATGCAGAGGTAATTTTAGAAGACATTCGAGTCTTGTAGAAATTATTTTCTCTTAAAAATGGATCCTTTACAACCTTTTTCATTTTAAAAATTAACCAATCGCAAAATTCTTATTTTGAAAAACATGTTCCATGCAAGTTCCATCATGGAACATGTTTCCATCCATCCATCATGGTTCATTCATAATTTTAAAACTGCATCTTCTTGAAAAATGTTTTTTTTTTTTTCCTTCTCAAAAATGGGATTTTTCTTCTTCACATATTTACAAAAATAGGTCTCTGACTAAAAGAACCTAATTATATGATAATTTTAGATTTCGACAAAATGAGTAGATTTGTGACAAAAACAGTACCTTTAATAAAAATTCTGAACAAACCACCGATTTTTTCACAAAATCAGGACTGCATTACTCAAGTAGATTTTTTCTAAAATGCAAACCTTTCATAAAACGTCTGTTAATACCCCTGCTTATAAGTAAAGCAATCTCGCAACAAACCATTGTGAGCCATAAGGGTCATGATTTTAAGTATTCACCATTTTGTGACCAATAGTATAATTGTGGTTATGTGGTCAGCTCTCTGCATATCTCTACACATACAAATGAAGATTTCTTTATTGCTTTAATAGTTTTTGATGATTGTAATGATACGTTAATACTTGCATAAAAATCTGTGTCATTAGTCAAAAACTAAAGGAAAAAAAAAGCAATTACGAAACCTACCTTAACAGAAACTCATTTTGTAATAACTTTTGTGTTTTTAAGAAATTTAGTTGATGTGTTTAAGAGTTATGATAAACATAGATTTAAAAAATATTATTTTTATGCTTTTGGAAGCTTACCTAAAGACAAAACTCATCTATATTATATCATCTATCTTTATCTATTATTGAGACAAAACCCATTTATGTACAAAGATATTTTTTTTAGTTTCTCATCAACGTTAAAAGTCAATGAAATATGACATCTGTTAATTTAAGATAAATATACAGCCTAATCAGCATTTATAATGTTTCTGATTGAACATCAAGCAATATAATTCTTAACAATCCTTTTAGTATTATATAGTTTCAATATTTTATGGTATTGATTAATTTGCAAATAGTGTAATGGCAATCCTCCTAAATATGTAAAAATAGTTCTGTGATCAAACACTTTGAAGTGAAATACCATTTTCTTATTTTAATATTTCTTCCTCCCCCCTCCTTGTTTTGCACACGTGCTTCCCTTTAGTCTCATCTTTTCAGTCACATTTGCTTAAAATGTGTTTTAAGTAAAATAAACGTTATTTATTTTGAGCCTTTTCTTATACATAATTAAAAAAATTTCTGAAAAAATATATTTATATATATACAGGGTATAATATAAAAATATATATATGTTATTATATATATATAATATATATATTGGACATGAAATGTCTTGATTTTAAATATTTTTTTTAAAAAATCATGGAAAATCATGTATTTAGGTCGCAGAAAAATTTTATTTTTAAACTGGAATTCCCCACTCAGATTATAAACCATATCCACTCCATATTTAAAAAATTATAAAGAGGTTTCATCATGTTCTTTAAAAATTATGGTGTTCTTTCAAATAATGAAAGAAAAAACACCATTTCTAGAACAGAGTATCTTTTAAACTTCTGTGATTTCACAATTATTATTATTATTTATTTATTTTAATTTATCAATTTAAAATTCTAGCTGAAGTAACCCAGTCATTGGCAAATTTTTTTAAATTCCGAAATGAGAACAGAAAAATCAGGAGTATTTCTTTCCTTTCTGATGTAAAGTATCTTAAAAATATCTTAAGAATATAATTCAGAAAAAAAGAATAAAAAATTATTTACTCAGCTATTATTTTTTCAGCTATTTTATTGCTTCAACTCTTTCATTACTCTGTTTTTTACATTTAAAATCAATAAATATGAAGATGCATAGTGTAACAGTTTTGGTTTTACCTATCATTTTAATTAATGTTATTATAATGCTTTTTAAATTTATTATTCTGTTTTTGTCGGAGAAAATAGTAACTTCGTTAAGTCATGAAAAGTTCTTGAAATTAGCCATGGAAAGTCATAAGTTTGAAAATCTAAAATGTAGCAGATACCCAATATATTTTTTAAATTTTAACTGATTTTTTTTATTTATTGTAAAATATAAAAAAGCTAAGAAATAAAATATCTATAAAAACAATGCAAAAAGAAAACGAAATAGGAAAGTTTCTGAAAAAGTATTGAAAAAACAAAATAAGGCTCCATAACTTATTTGGCAAACTTATAGATGTGTTAAATAATATAAACTTTAAATAATGCATGTTGAACTATTTTTAGAGGAGAATTTTATAACAATGAAACAAATGACTTGTACAAAGAAAATGAAATCTTGAAAAGGGCAAAATTTGCTGAGACCCTCCAGAAAATTGCAGATCAAGGTGCAGAGGTGTTATATACTGGAGAGCTACAAAAGCAATTTCTACAAGATATCGCTGATTGCGGTAAGTTTTCTTATCTTTTTTCCTTGTGGGCCTTGGCCTTTCTTAGAATTCCATTCCATGCCATTCTTTTCTTGCTTAAGTTTTTCAAGTTTGTTATCTTAATAGTTATTAAGTTTTTTTAGCCAAATCTTTTTCACTTACTTGTTATCAGGGTTGCAAAAAAGCAAGCCTTTTCTGAAAAGTACCAGGTCGGCTGGCGGCTGGAAGACCCGTATAATATATTCAAACTCATGAAATTTTTTCTATCACTAAGAAAGAAAGAAAGAAAAAAATTTGCCTCTTCAAAAAAATTGTTTATTTTTTCGAATTTTTGAAAAGAAAGATTAATTTTTACGTTATTTCCTACCAATGCTAACGCTGTTTAAAATGACTGTCATATAAATTGAAACCACACATCGCTTTTCCTATTTCAGCGATTTTTGATCAGGCATAGTGTTTTGTATTTTCGTGATTTTATACCAATCATCGCTTTTGGTATAGATGCGATTTAAAAGCTGCTATTATGATTCTAGTTGCTTAAAAATTATATTCTAGTGGTTTAAAAATCTAATATCGAGATTCGTATTCATACGATTTTAATATGAAGCATTGATATTCATATTCGCTCAATTTTAAAATTAAGTTTTGTTATTTGTGTAATTTGAAAATCCCTCATAGAGATTTATCTTCCCATAATTTTAATAAATTAAAAAAAAATCCTACATCAATATTTTTATTAAAACGTTGATAACATTATGCATTTCCTACTTTAATTTTTTTCTTGCTTAAATTTCAGGTATTTTTTTATATTTTTGGATTTATATTCTCAGTTCTTTTGGTTTTTTACCAAACCCATCTCTGTAGTATAAATCGATATAAAGTTCTATCGTATGCAAAAGAGGGGACCAACATCCTATTAATATGTACCTCTGGACGCTCTAAGTCCATACCACTCGGTGTGCGGATATTTTTGACCAGATAGTGTATTAGCAGCTTAAAAAAAATGGAATCGGCAGCAACTAAAATTGAAACACTAGAGATAGTTTATTAGATATCAAAGAAGATTGACAATTGTCAGTATTTGTTGTTCATCGAGATTTATTTGAACAAGTGAATCTTCCTCCAACTCACTACAAGAAGCAAATGAAAAAGACTAATACAATTGTAAAGCAATAAGTATTTTAAGAATAGTTTTAAATTAAATATAGAACCAGAAAGTTAAAAAAGAATGTCACTTTATTTTAAAAAGAAATATATATATTTTTTGAAATTTCGTACAGAGTTTGAAAACTTTACATATTGTAACAGAGCCTATTTATACTTAAGAGTATTTATTTATAAAAATTAGCCTGTTATTTGTAATTGTGAGTTCAATAAGTGTTTTGTTTTTTTTTGCAGTGTATAGGTTTAGTATGTGATTTCCTAATTTAATAGCATTCATAAAATTTGATTATGTTATTTTTTATGTAACAGTCTTTACATAATAGTAGAATTAGGTTTTACTACATTAAGTTATATAAACATTGAAAAACTAGTTCTTTTAATTTCTTAAATTCATTCATTAATTATTCCGTGATGGTTGCTTTTTAGTTTTCGCGTATTTAAAAATGGTATGTTGAAAAGCTTGAAAATTAATACCATTATTTAAACAAACTTTCTATTGCTTAAAAATTGACATGCAATATTTTTTTTTTTTAAATCTAATTTCTTCCATTTCTCCAATGCAATTTCTTCCAATTTTTTTCTGTTCTGGAAGAAACATTTTGTTAACAGGAAAATATATTAATGGTGCACAGATGCATTAAAATGGCTCTGTTTGTTTCTTAATATTTTAGTGTATATAATATATTTAGTACAATCATCTATGTGTCTATAATCTATAATATATTTAATATATATTATATAATATATAATAATCTACAATATATTTAGTACAATCATGTGTTTTTATTAATTTGCAGTACACAATTTTGTAATTACCACATTCTTTTTGTTGCATTCAATAAGAGAATGAAATTTTTTCTTCAATTTCAGGTGGTATAATAACTGAAAGCGACCTCCTCAATTACAAACCACTTATGAAGCCCACCATTGAAATGCCTCTCTTGGACTCTGATGGTTTGAAGCTTTATACGGTCCCTCCACCTGGCAGTGGGCTCATTCTCACACTCATCCTAAATATTCTGAGCCACTACAATATGTCTGCAAAGGATTTCGAGTCTAGAGACAATGCTGTACTTCAGTATCATCGAATGGTCGAAGCTTTCAAATTTGGATTCGCCCATCGGACTCAGCTGGGTGACGATTCATTTGCTAACATCTCCCAAGTAATCTATGTTTTTTTTTTCTTTTTTTGTCTACACTGACAACCAAGGCTAAGATGTTGGTGAAAAATGCTTTTTTTAGCACATTTGATCGCTTTATCTTTTATAGGCATTATTCTTTTTTTTTTTTTTTTTGTTCTTTTTGGCTATTCTTTCACTTTATAAATTTGTTTTCTATTTAAATGAGTTTTGAATGATAATTTTGGTTGTAGTTAGTTTTGCTTTTCTTTATAAACAGGCATGTGATTCTTCCCCTAATTCGTGGATTTCCAGGAATCAATAATTTATGTTCATGTAACATTTCGTTACTTTTGCAAAATCTCATTAACTAGACATTTATTCTGCCCTTACCAGTACTCTCTCTTTTTTTTCTCTCTTAGTCACGTGCTCTAAAGATTTTTTTAAACAGGTTTGTTAGATAAAAATGCAACTTTGGATTAACTTCAACAACATGTGACTGAAAACAAATATTCTATAACTTTTAGAATTTATAACTACTGAGGCAAACCAAGAAGTATAACATTGACAATCTAAAAAGTAATTCTAAAATGGCAATGATTTTTAGAAAATTGCTCTCTATAACAAAAGTTTTTTTTTCTCCATTTTTTTAAATTTATTTTTTAATGAATAGCAATTTTGTTGTGAAAAATTTTAATGACATCATTTTAATTTTTTGTCATTTTGAAGGTTTTATTTGCGTTATTTAAACATTTTTAATTTCTCAACATCGTAGCCTGGTTAGAATAGATAAATGATTGTCAAAAAACACTAATAAAAAACAAGATGGCTTCTCTCTCTGGAAAAAGGAAAACCTGGAATACAATGGAATTTTTAAAATACACTGGAAAACCTTTAAAAAATTTACAATTTAGACTGGAAAGTTTTTGAGTATTATCAGTGTGTTTCCCTTCATTATTAGACATTGAAACTGTCTTATATTAGTTATCATATTATTTATATTTCCTCAGTTCTATTTTAACTAATTGTTCTAATTAATAATTTTATTGTTTTAATTTTTATATTAAGTATTTCTTTCATTTAGATAATTATATTTTTTTTATTTTAATACTAAGAAGAGAATAAATAGTTTTATTAATTAATTTATATCTGTAACTTTCAGTCATGAAGTAAGTAGAATGTTCAGTTTTAAGAGGAAAAAAAATTATTTACGCATACTTATTACGTAGAAATGTAATACATAAATTTTTGTATTACTATTGAATGTAAGTTAACCTGAGTTAAGTTAATCTTAAACTTTTCATAATTTACTTGAAATCTGAATGAGTTTGTGGGTAATGGTCTGACCAGAAAAATTATCAATGTCTAGAAATTCACCAGAATTAAATCCAATCTCCAAATGGGAGACTTGATTTTTAAGATAAACTGCATGCCCAAAAATATTTTGTTATACATCTAATAATATATGAAACTCTTTTGTTGCTAATAATGAACATTTTCATAATTTATAAATCCTTGAATTTTCCATTTCTGTTAATTATAATACATATTAATCTGTACGAAGATCATCTTCGATCCTTATTCTTTTTATGTAGAGCCTCTTAACCGTTTAGATTTCTCTGTTAATATTTGCCTCAAGTTTTCTTGTTATTCAAAGCTATATAAGAGGTTCCACCGGTTCTGTTGCATAACAACATTTGTTTGGAAATGAACAAACAAATTTCAAAATTGGTATTTGTTTAGAGTTTTGACAAAGTGGAGGTAAATATTTACATTTTGGCTGTAAGGTAGATTAACAGTTAATTTTGATACAAACAAAATGAAAAGATGACTAATTGCCCTTTAAAATATCATTTCTGTTTTATAAGCAACCTGTTAGGTAGGTACATTTAATTCTTTATGTTATCGTGCAAAATAAATTCTTTTCTTGACCTCTCATTTCTGGTTTTAAATTTTGTATGCCCCCTGTTATTATTTTTTAACAAATTTTTTGATGTGCAGTTGAATCTCGATTTAACGTACTTTGATTTATTGAATTCTCCGGTTTAACGAATATTTTTTCTGTCCCAACAAAAAGGGTGCTAAAATGCTCTACTTTAAGGCATTTTTACCTTTGATTTTGCGAACAACAATTGCTAGAAAACAATAAGCACATAAAACTAAAACTTTGAATTTTTCGCTCTTAAAATTTATATTTCACACCCTAATTCAAGGGTTTAGTTATATTACATATTAAGTTTTAAAAGCCAGTAGCATTAAAGAATTAAGATCATTTTGAAGTTGATTTCCCTACATATAATCTAAACTTTTTATGCTCGTAGTAACAATATTTTTTTTTCATTATCTGTATATCTAAAGGTATATTGCATTGATATTTTTATACCGTGCTTTTTTCAAAAATTTATATTCGATTTAATGAATTGCTTTGATTTAACAAACGGATTTGTCGGTACAATTCGTTAAATAGAGGTCCGACTGTATTTCCTAATTAAATCCTATGTCTTATCATTTTAATATGTTGTTACAAAATTTTTACTTTTGTGTTATTTTTACAGAGTTAAATTATTTATTATGCTTTTTACTTTCATTTTCATAATTATTTTGCAGGTTCTGTCACATTTAAAATCTCCGAGTTATGCTAAATCCATATTTGAACAAATATCGGACGACACGACGTTTCCGCCTGCCCATTATAAGCCAGAAATGGAGATGGTTGCTGACGAAGGAACTGCACACGTGTCTGTTCTTGCACCAAATGGGGATGCCGTATCTGTAACAAGTACTGTCAATACTTAGTAAGTATTGTGTAGATCAATATATGTTTTACTCTTAATTAAATTGTGTTTACTGATATAAAAGAAAATGTTAAAAGAACATAACTATTCTAAAGGACTCTCTGACTTTAATTTATGTGAGACAAAATAATGAAATATGGAAGAGTTAAAAAAGGTGGAAACAATCTATTTTGCTTTGTTTGAGTATATTTAAAGTATATGACATTTGACTATTGTTGATAAGGTGTAAATGCTTTTAAATTTAATTATATGCAAAGTAAATTAAAATGAAAGGATTATGAAAATGGAGGTGGGTGCTGTAGAGTGGGAATCCTCTTTACAAGGGAGAATAATGAATTTTTAAATCATCAAAATTAACAGGTAATTGGATTTTTATTTTCGTGTTTTAAATAAAGGTGACCACTCAATGCCCTATCTATATTATCAGGGATATTTAAGAAAGATATTTCAGCTATACTAAACTATTTCCTTTACTATAGCATTATTTAAGTATATTCCTTTTTTCTAAGTTTTACTAAGTGCTCTAAGTTTTTCCAGTAATTAAAACTAGTATAGTTAACCCAACATTGCTCACACTTAATATATTGTGTATAATATGTTCTGGTAAAACACTGGGAAATTTTTTTTCCACATTTGAGTGGCAGCCCTGTTTTCAGATGCATTTTAACAACTAAAATAAACAATTATTAAGTATTAGTGATATGCTTCAATCAAAATAGTAGCTGGTAAGAAAAAAAGTGTATTTCTCAGAACCTTTATTTTTTTTTAATACTTACAATTTACTCAGGGATTTGTCGTTTTAATCAGATCTCTTAAAGTTTCCTTACTAGGGTCCACTTAACTTCACAACAGCAGGTGTTGTTTAAATAAAGATGTGTAATATGTATATACTTCTAAATTATTATCACTTCATATTTTTACTATCAGTTATGTTAATAAATATCTTTTATTTTTCATAATTGATAGTCTGATATGTTTTTGCAATATATATGTATGTATTGTTTGTTCATTTTTTATTTAAACATTCTTCCTTAAACTTTATAATTTATTTAAACATTAAATAACTCTTTATTAAACCAAATATTACTACAATATCATCGTTGTCATAAATCAGCTATTTTAATTTTGTAGATAAGCTGTGGCAAAGGTAAATACGATATAAATTCAACCTGTTACAACCTGCTCGTAGAAACCATAATGACCTAGAAAGTGTTATTATTTTTACCAACTATGCTTACTTAATTACTAAAACTGGTATCTTATGCGATTGTCTGCTTGCTATTAAAAGTTGAACACTCAGAGCTGAATTATTTTATTTTGGCACATTTTAAGTAAATGAATGTTTTGAATGTGTGCTTTTAGAAGAACAAAGCAGCTGTAATAAAATAAATATTTTTTATTTATTTACATTTAATGTAATTATTATTGTAGTGTATCTACCACTACAAAAATACAATCCCAATTCACTAGTATATGAGACATTTTAACTCCATTCTATGTCGGGGTACCATTTCATAGATGAAGGTTGACTTAGTCGATATCTACTAGCCTCACATTGGTGACCTTCGGACATGATGTGAACTTTGATAGAAATTCCCACTTTGATTTGAACACTCCTTCAATGGATTCCCCATTGAACAGTTGACTTGCTACTTGTGACTGCGACATTATCCCCCTCCTGGCGCCGTTGCTACTCAGTCAAGATCACACACAACGTCTACCTGTATACACTCGACTGCTATTGGCAACACAGGAAGGACCACAATCATGTTCAGCATTTAAAAAGTACGGTGATCTTAATACAGCTCTCCAGGCTTCTCACGAAACAGCAATGAATCAACGAGTGAAATGCATTCAGCGAATCCTATCACAGCTATAATTCTGGTGGGGGAGTACTGTAGTGTGTCTAACACTACAAAAATACAATTTTAATTCACTAGTATGTAAGACATGTTAACTCGATTCTATGTCAGAGTACCTTTTCATAGATGAACATTGACTTTGTTGATAACTACTATCCCCACAATTATATAAAAAAAATTTGTGCATGATTATGTGGGTGCTGAAAATATGTCTTGTAACAATTTTTGTTCCATGTGTAGTTTTGGCAGCCTCTGTAGATCTCCATCTACCGGTATCATTCTGAACAATGGAATGGATGATTTCTCTTCACCCAACATCGTGAGTTATTATGGGGTTCCACCCTCCCCTGCAAATGACATATCACCTGGAAAGAGACCCCTTTCCTCCATGTGCCCCACCATCATTGTGGACAAGGAGGGGGAGGTGAAGATGGTCGTCGGAGCTGCTGGAGGAACCAGAATCATCACTGCATCGGCTCAGGTATACTTTGAGTGACTTCATTCGTTTCAAAAAATGATAATAAAAGTAGACGCGTTTCGAGGGCACAAAAACAGGGGCTCATTCTCAAGATTCACGATGGAAAAAGCAAGCTATACAAAAGCTTTATTTGAATGATGGTGCAATTCTGCTTTCGCTCATAATCAAGAGGCAACATAGCAAATTATCCCTAGCAGCAAAATAACTTGGGCCTTCATTGAACCCATATTCACGAATCTTGGCTTAATAATGGTTTAAGGAGCCGTTATTTTCGGATATTGACCCTCTATAAAATTGTCTGATTCACCCAATATTTTACAACCATTATCGGCCCTATACAGAGCTGTCAGGTTCACTTGATATTCATTATTCAACCAATATAGACCCTACATTGGCCGTATATAGGCCGATATTGACTCTATGTTAAGAAATCTAGACATCTCAATATTGATCCCTCGATGGATATTCATGTTGGAGCCAAGGTAAAATATACTGCCGGGGCTATTTTAACTTCACAGGTATTTTAAAGTTTAGAGAAGGATGAGTTTAGGTCAACCCTAAAGTTTCAAAATATCGAAACACAAATGAATCATTACTTCCCTTTAGTGTAATCTTGTTTGCTTTTTGATGTTTTGAAAACATTTTTACAGCATTTGAAATTTCATGGTTTACATGAGCTCACTTTTTCTCAAAAATTTGAAATACCAATAGAAGTTTCTTTAAATGCGTACGAAAAGACTCAAGCAGCGTGATAGCGCTTGTTTTATTTTACATCGATGAATCCCAATCAGAGCAATATTGCTTCTTGTATCTGTCAGGTAACGAGTCAAAGCGGTTGGACGTATTCTTGTGTAAGTGTTTCTAATTATTAATAATTGTCTGTTTCAAAATGATTAGATGAAGCAATGCAAAAAGTAAGTAAAAAGTTAATCTAGATTTTACTGTTTAACTTTTTTAAATTCGGTGTATCCCCAAAAAGGTAAAATGAATCGAAACTGAAAATCTTTGAGAATAATCACAAATCCATGTGATCATATTATTGTCGACAATGACAACTACATTGTGTCTGTAAAGTGCAAAAGACAACGCATTTTGAGTATTCCAGAGGATAGTGATAACAATGAAATAAAAAAACTTATTTTGTAATGTATTATTACATTATTATAGTATTATTCTACCAATTTGTAATTGCATTAGTAGCCGTCATTAAACAGCTGACCCAATTTTTGGGTTTACGACTACTAATGTCCAACAACGTAGCCTTGTCATTTTGAACCCAATCCAGAAGACAAGAGAACTCCTGGATCAAGCATTGGGAGAAAAAAATTTTTATTTGTGGAGGGTTTTTTGACGGAACCAACCTCCATTTGTGTTACATGGAGAGGAAGACCTCGAAAATATCCCACAGTGAGCCTGACAGCAAGGGGACTCTCACCCATGATCCGTCTACCTCTGAGGATAGTTCGCGTCAGCACTGTGTTGTCCGTGTGAGCTGGGCATGAAATTCATATCAACCAGCCAAATCTTCACCTCTTTGAAAGGCGAACGCTCTATCCCCTAAGCCACCGCGGCTCTATTCTATCTATTGTAAAATGCACTATTTACATTAAAAGTAGCAAACACACTGACAGTTGTCCACAATGTTCGTTATGTATTGAGTTTTCTCGACATAAAATCTATACAGGTACTCAAACAGTTGAAGTCTAATGAGTGCTCTGCCTAACTTGCTTGATTTGTGGTGCACTTTTTATTTGCAATTGTAAAATAAGATAGGAATGAGTTGTACGAAAATGAAAGTAAGACGCTTATTCCATTTTCTTTTAATAGAGTCTGGCCACTGTTTATTAATTAAGACGTTAATTAAGACTCTCCTTGTAATTGTTGGGGGGAGAGGAGATTGTTCCACTTTTTGTATGATACTGTTATCAGTTAATAAAATGTTTTCAGAAAACACTGTATTGCTGGAAAAAAACACTTCATGGTAAATTCAAACTTTTCCACCTATATTAAGTAATTTAAATTTTAAAGTACAGCAAAAAGACATAAATTCAGATATACTTTGCATTTTGATATTTTGCAAATAATTTTTCAGCATTTGAAACTTCGTAGTCTACCTTAATTTACTTTTCTCTGAACTTTAAATTTCAATATGTCAATGGAGGAACAGGGAAGAAAAAGGAGGAAAAAAAGAATTTACTATGAAAAAATTCTCATATAATATATATTACTTTTTGATTATCAGTTTTTCTTCATTACTGAATGGAAAAACTATACTAAGATGTAGAAGTTTTGCAAGAATTTTATACCAGTAACACAATGATTAAAAATACAAACCTCATTGCAAGTGCCCAGGCTTGCCATTCGACAGGGAAAACCTGACAAATACAAGAAATTAAAAAATCACCTGAAATAACAGGAAAAATGCGGGGAATTGGGAATTCTTTAAAAACTGAGAAAATACAGTGAATTTTGATTTTAGTTTTAAAAAATACTAATTACTTTAATCTTATATTTTTTCAAGAATTTTTTTTAAAGCAAATCAAAATATATTTTTGACTGCTAATATAAAGTTATAATTTTAAAATATCATCTGCACTCATTAATAAGGTTTGTGTCCTATGTCTTGAGCTATTAAGATTGCATCTTATTATTTAGAAAATTCTGTTTCTTAAACTGTTTAGGCTTACTCTCTGTACTTACATTAAAAATCCTACAGATGTAGGAAATGTATGCCAAATTTGTCCATCGCAAATATTTCATTTCTGTGTGATTATTTTTTTTTCTTTTTTAAAGGGTGTAATACGAACACTGTGGCTATCTGAGGATATCAAAATGGCAACAGATGCACCTCGTTTGCACCATCAATTATTCCCGAATGCAGTTCAGTATGAATCTGGATTTCCAGAGGTACACATTTTTCATTCCACTAAAAATCTCTGTTTTATCTTTCTGCAAAATTCATAAGTTTTTTGTGTTTATAAATAATGGCCTCCTGGTATAGAATAACACTGTACATAATTTTTTTTAATTGTTAATGTAATGTTTTTTTCTTCGGAAACATATAAAAGAATATTATATTCTTAGATTATAAGCTATATTATCCCATTTTGATGCCACAAAAAAAAACTATTATTTTCTTTTTTGAAATATGCATACCTGTCAAGTCCTGCATTTTTAACGAAGTTTCCGTATTTTATGAATATCTCCCACTTACCCGTATTTTCTTAAATTTCTCTGCATATTTTGAAGAAAACTTTTTTTTAGTGATAAATATCCACTAATGACAAAAATACCTCGCTTATTCCTCGACAGATGACGCTTTTACCAGTGCTGCTGTTCATGCACTGCCACGCCAACCAAACCAGAAGTTGTGACAATAGTTTCTTTTTCCCGATTACGAACTTTGTTATTTACCTACGGGAATTTGGAAATAACTTTTTTTGCATTGCATTTTTAACAATAGTCGAAACATAAATATATTTCTGTTTTCTGAATGTTTTCTACTGTGTGTGTCAATTGGGCAATTAGAAAATGAACTGAATAAAAAAATTAAAAAAACAGTTCCAAAATATAGCGGATGTTATGTTAGGTATCCTATGCATTCCATCTAGCAACGTAGAGCGCGAGAGAATTTTCTTTAAAGTTAAAAAAATTTGCTCAGAATTACGCTCATTACATGAAAAGCTTGAAAGCTGCCCTTTGATGAAAAGTAATTTCTCTGGTAACTGTTATGAACAGAATTTTCTATGTAAAGCCAAATCAGCTACTTATATTCAAAACATGAAAATGTAAAAATTCTGTAACGCAAAGCTAATTACTTAGAATTATGAAAACTATTTTGATGTTGAGTGTTTATAATATAAATAATTATGAACAATGGTTTCAAAAAATCTTTTTTAGATAAATATTTATTTCCATATTTTTTATTTCGCTAAATATAAGTGCTTATATTATTTCCAAATTTGAATTTTTGTTATTGACGTACAGAATTCTCCGTGGCAGAGTTGCAACAACACAGCGACATTGTTGCAGAATGTTACAGAGCTCTTGCAGAAAGATATTTCTTTAGAAAAGTAAAAAAAAAAAAAAAAACTTTTCTTTTCTACAGAAATTTACATGTAATATTTGAATCATGCAGTTAGATAATCACTCTTTGACGCGCTCAATTTACGCTGATAGTATCGTAAATCAATGTAATGTTACAATTGTATTTTCGGCAGTTATTGATTTTCACATTAATTTTAAATACCCACATGCATTTCAAACAATATGGGAAATTTGAAACTTTGATTTCTTTTTTAACATTTGAGTATTTACTTTTTAAGGCAATAATTCTATTGAATTGTTAGCAGTTATTCCTATTGATTTTTACATAGTTTTTACACCCAATATTTTTTATTACAACAACCTAATCTCTAAACGAAACACTCATTTGAGAAATCGCGCGATTTCGTCAGTCATTTTTTTGGCAATTACTACTACGCGCTCGCGAATTTCATGATTTTTAATTATTTTTTATTGTAATGATTATGTACAAAATACAGAGAAGAAAATACTTTATAAGTTCCCCCTTCCCCTCAACAAAATGTGAGACTATCACCCAATTAAAAAGGTCAAAGTACAATTAAAAAATCATAATAAAGTTTTTTTTGTGAACACAGCGCTTTTGATATTTTAAATTAGTAACATATATGTTCGTTATTATTAAAAGTATCTTGCAAAACGATAATAATGCCAAAGAGTTTTGTCACAGATAGCTCAAAAAAATTCTGTGACATGGTGCATGCTATATCAAAATTGTACACATAGCCCAAAAAATGTTGTTGGTAAAATCTCCGTTATTTTATTTCTCAAATGTTGGCAGGTGTGCATGTTGAATGTCATAATGGATTATCACATTGGTACTGTGTGACCAAGGGTTCCCACTTAGAGCACCTGTTAGATATGTATAAAAAAAAAACTTGAATTGTCTCAGTATTTAGTACAAGGTTTGTATTCGACCTAGGTTTTTAACTCTTGTCATCTGAACCCCCATCCCAAAAGAATTAGGAATCACCTTGTATAGCCATATGACGTGCAATGTTGACCACATTACATCTATCATGCTGTTTGCTTCACAATTTTATATTTTATTTTATAACCATCTTTGTATGACCATCAATGTTCAACTTCATAGCCCTGTAATTTTGAGCCCAATCTAAAAAAAACAAGGGAACTCCTGGATCGAGTATTGGGCAAAATTTTGGCTTCATAGAGGACTTTATGGTGGAACTAACCCTCATTAGTGATACATGCAGGGTATCTGCACATCTGATAAGTCATGAAATATCATGGAAAGTCATGGATTTTTGTATTAAACAAAAATTTATCATGAAATGTCATGATTTTAACTATTTTTTGAAAAAAAAAATCATGTATAGTCATAAGTTTAGGTCGCCGAAAAATCTATTTTTTAAAATGGGGGATTTTGCCCTCCCAATTTCACATATCTGAATTTGTTGCACTAATAGTCTTATTCTATTAAAATATAAAATGTTTATATTCTACTCTTTAAAAATCGTGGTGTTCTTACAAAAAAATTAAAGAAAGAACATTATTTCTAGAGCGGATTATCTTTTAAACTTCTGTGGTTTCAAATTTTTTTTATTATTTACTTTTTTTATTTTATCAATTTAAAATTCTAATTTAGGCTTTTTATATTACACTTACTGTAAAGAAGAAAAATAAAACAGCTTTTAATTATTACTTATATCTGACAGTATTTAGTTATTTGCTTTTATATTTTTTTCAGCTATTTTATTGCTTCAATTTTTTCTTTACTCTGATTTTTAAGTTTAAAATCAATAAATATGAAGATGTAGAGTATAACAGTTTTGGTTATACCTATCATTTCAATTAATGTTGTTATAATGTTTTGTTTTTTTAAAATTTATTGTCGTGTTTTTGATTAGAAAATAATAATTTCAGTAAGTCATGGAAAATTCATGGATTTAAAAATCTAAAATGTATCAGATACCTTGCACATGGAGAGAAAAACCACGAAAACCCTACATGGTTAGCCTGATACCAATGGGACTCTAACCCATGATCTCACTATCTGACAAAATTACATGATATGCCTGTTAAGAGATACTGCCCTTAAAATGGGGCTTGAATGGTGCATGTTCATTCAATTAATTCTCTAGTACGAAACAAAAGGTGTCTTTTGTGTGACACCAAACAAATGACCAGAGACTCTAGAAATCAGCCTTTCAGTTACATAATGCCTCGAATCAACACCTCCTAGATAAGAGCAGGCCTCAGCACGAGTTACCATAAATACCCTTAGTAGTCCAAACATGATGACATATTTTGTATTTTCAACAACTGCGCAGCTTAGTACTCCAAACGAAATGACATCTTTCTTATTTTTCATCTAATGCGCAGTTAACTTTGTTAGATCGGACTACTAAATTGATCCGTGCTGAGGCCTTCCTTCTTCTAGGAGATGTTGCTCGGATCCTGGTTAAGTCACTCTATTTCCCACTTAATTGCAGCTATTATTAGCTCATTTGAATATTTGTTGAAACTTTTACAACAAAAATTATTTACCTCTTATTATACTTTATTGTATTCTCCATTTTCACGTTGTAGGGTGTCCCTTTGTTTTTTGTTATTCCTTCTACTGTTTATTTTCAGGATTGCCACTCCACAGTGAGGACCTGAAAAATACAAGGAATTTTAATTCTTATTTTCGTCTTTAAAAAATGGTGACCACTCGAAGCTATGGGATATTTAAGGATGATATTTCAGTTATACTAAACTATTTCATTTACTATAGCATTATTTTTTAGTATGTTTTTCAAGCAATTGAAACTAATAAATATAGTTAGCCCAATATAACTCACTCAACAGCACAGTTAATTGTTGTGTTTCCTCTTAATATATTGTGTATAATATGTACAGGTAAAAAACGGGGAATTTTTTTACCTTCCCTATTTCAGGGGCAACCTGGACTTTGTAACATAGACTCTGTTCTTGTCATTTATGTTATCTTTTTAGACTTTAATAAAGTGTGCTTTCTTGAATACCCACTTGAGGATCGGTCAAGTTATGCTCGGTCTATGTCCAACGATATAAAGTAGCCAAATACGCTTTATGCAATTAAAAAATTAGCATTATTTACTCAGATTTTTAAATTTTATGTGTTAAAATAAATCATCAGCTTTTTTGTCAGACCTTTTCCAGAAAGCAGTAATATTTAAGTGAGGAAAAAGTATTCTACATTCTGACCAATCATTACTGAGGAAGAAAAAAAAGCAAAGCAAAGATTTAAATCATCTAAAGCTAGTTTATTTTACAGTGGAATATCTCTGAAATCACACATTTGTTATGTTATGTCTTGAAGCATAATTTGTTATGTCTTAGAAATGTTTCAATTTTTTTTTTAACTTTTAGATCTATCGAGACAAGCTAAAAGAGTATGGGCATGAAGTATTGGAAGATACAAAGGACAGTGAATTCTTTGGGATTGTGAAACAAGATGGAAAAATCAAAACAAACTTAGATTTCAGAAAAGGGGGCTCAGCTGAAGGGTTTTAATATTTATAAAAAGAACCCTGTGTCTTGTTTTAAAGATCTTATCTTTTACTGGATTATCAGTATTTATTACTTAAAATATCTTTTTTTTTGTATGTGTTTACTTCATGTTCTTAAAAATGTGTGTACTGCCCCCCGCCTGAAAATAAAGAATTGTGATAATTTTTATGTCACGCATGTTCTGTACGTTGTTTATGTGGAAATTTATTTTGTACAGATTGTAAATAACAAATTTTATGACTTGAAAAATCTCATTTCTAATTGTCATTATTAATTATTTTGCTTTTAGACACTGTAACATCAAAGAAAATTATTCAAGCATTCATAAATGTTTTCATTCTGAAAATAAGTAATCCAAATTGAAAAGAAAAATCTAATTAATAATAGATGATTAATAAATAATTAATACTCTAATTAATAAATTATTTTTATACTCATTGTAAATGTATGAATTTTATTTTATATTTGTCATAGAACAGCCGACCCAACTTCAGATTTACGACTACTTATGTTCAATTCCGTAACCTTGTCATTTTGAACCCAATCCAGAAGACTAGGAAACTCCTGGATGAGTACCCAGAGAGGTATGATTTGTTATGAAAACATGGAGGACTCGGTGACTCGACAGATTTAACGTGCGCGGGGAGTCTTTGACCAATGGGGATCGAACTCGCGACCTCTTGGACATGGACCCAGTGCCCTACCAACCAGGCTATTTAAGCCCTTAAATGGGTGGTTGACCATGTAAAGATAAGCATAGATGGTGCAGGGAGTTAAAATTCGTCGTAAGGAGTTCTGACTAATTTTTATGCCTAAGTTTTGAAAAAACGCTCCTTTCAATATTATTATACATGTAGTATTTTCAATATAACGTGTTCTTTCAATTAAGATTTCAACAATACATATAACAAACGAATTCGGAAGACTCCGCGAGCTTGCTATGATGCCACCCAAAATATAACAAGCGGCTGCACAAATATAGCCAAATAAGGGATGACTCTCAAAACATGACAAACCTTTAATTATGTTGTGATATTTAACTTTGTTTTAGGTTCACGACCTGTTAGAATTTATAAATTACAGAAAACTCTTATGAATGGTAAATTTTTGTGTAAATTTAAACACAATAATAGAACTTCTTAGCAAATTTAGCCTGTTCGCGCGTCACCTCGTAAGCATAACATAAGAGGAGGGATACATCAGAAGTTTTGTAAATTTGTTCCAGTTTTAGGAAACTTGTTATTGTTTACATTCAATCAACCATTTATAGAATAAAATAAACCCTTATCTCTAAAGATTAGGAGAATTAACCTCTTTTCGTTACCTTCATTTCAGTAAATTTTGCTTTTTTTTCCCCCTCTAAGGACAGAATGCTACATTTAAATTATATACTGTTTGAGCAAAAAAGCGATCTTTGTTAATGGAAAGAGTGGGAGAAATTGCATAACCGTGAGATACTCAGTATTAGCAGTATCCAACTTAAGGGCAACAAACTTATGCTAACATTATAAATAAAATATATAAACGATATAAAATAAAATAAATAATAAAAATAAAATATAAAATCAAAATACACTTTTAGTGTTTTCTAACAGATTTTTAATGTACATTACTTTAAATATTTATATTTTTCTTGAAATAAATTTACTTTATTAACACTTAAAAAATAACATTTGCATTGACTGTATAATAAAAGTATTTTGTTATTTCATTGCTTTTATTATTACCAAGAACAATTCTTACTCTTAAATCAAGTTTTGGGATTATGGAGTTTAATATTTATGCTTCTTATTAACTTTTCATACTGACGAAGTATAATTTCGACAAAAACTAAGCAATTCATTTTTAAGACCTTTATTATTTTGTAATTTCAGATATTTAATTAAAGCACATTCATCGCATATCAAAAATAAACTGTTAACTTAATAATTTTGAGGGAAAAAAGAAAATTCTTAACGTCTATACACTTTTTTTTTAATTATTATTTATGCCGAAATATTTAGAATAACTCAGAAAGAAAAAAATATATATGTAGTCAAAATACAACTCAAACTGTGACGACTACCCTATCTAACATATTTATTTAAATAAGTCAAAAGTTAATACTTTATTCTAATGAAAATTTCATTATTTATACATACTATCAATAAAAAATAAGTTTTATTTCTGTTTCAAAGTTCACAAAAAGACAATTACAAAATGTTTGAAACTGTTGAAGAGCATTTATCATTTTATAATAATCAATTATTAATACAGTGCTATTGGCAATCAAAGTTAGCTTTTCATTGACCAAGCCATTTTAATGTTATTCAATCTGCTGACAATTAATTTAAACATATTAACTTTTAATGATAGATATTATTATTAGTTGCAAGAGGCAATATATGAGTTAATGGAATCATTTTATATCTAAGGCATTCTGTGTTTTATTTCCAATAAATAAATAAATTATTCACATTATTCATGATACAGAGTTGGAAAAACAGAAATTCTATCTTTGATTGTTTGCAAATGAAAGCTGAGAGAAATTATCTATAAAGTTAGGGTTAGGCACCATTTGATATGCATTGAAAGATTTTAGAAAGTTGTTTGACTTCACCACAGGCTATATCTATCCTACTCAGAGCCCAACTTAGCCTAATTGGGGGCCCCCTCGGCTTCAGTAATAAAGAACCGACGTTTATGGAGACATTTAAAATTTTCACCTCATTATAGATAACAAGAAAATTGACTAAAACCTAAAATAGCTATTAAGTCCCTCCCCCTCCGAGATGGTCAGACGAAATACCGTTCTGTCCATTTCATTGATTTTCTGACATTTCTTTGTCCATTATGCTGAATGCAGTTTTCTAATTGTCATCTAGCTGCGAAAAATTCCTATCCTTGCTGATATTGAGACGGAATTCAGCTAAATTTACACAATCAGTGGCTCAATTAAGCCAATCAAAAGCCTGTATTTTTGTAAACATGTCGTATTTTGCGATATGTTAAAATACAGGCTTTTGATTGGTCAAATGTGTCCATCGCCATTGCGAAAAGTTGGCTGAATTCTGCCCTAAAAAGCTAAGGATTTACGAAATATAGATTGTCTTCATACGATAGATTAATGAAGGAGCTAACATAAATTTGACAGATTTTACACAGTACTGATATTTTGTTTAAAAAAAGTTCATTAAAGAAGGAAACATAAAATAAACTTTCTATTCGATTTGCTCCCCCCCCCCCCNATATTTATGGAAGTTGTATTGTGAAGTATTGCACACCTTTAACATCACAGAAAGAAGGGGGGGGGGAATAACTCAGCATCCAAAGCTATTTTTACTATCATTGATTTGTAAGAGAATAATACAAAACTGACTGTAATACAACCACTGTGAAAAATCAGTCTCAGATTAATAATGTTTTTAATAAGATCATATAATTTTTGATTACAAAAATGGCTTTGATACAGAATGAACATAAATCGATATTTTTTTAATTAAAGAAAAATTGCAATATAATTATTAGAAGAGGGATTAAGGAGTATTGTAAAAAAATCAGAAAGGAACACAAAATACTAAAACATAAAATAAATAAATAAAAAAAGAAAAACTGATACTGGAAATAATTTAAGAAATTTATATTCATTCATAAAAATAACAGAAAGAGTCTCTGTATGTTTATAAATAAAATGCTAGTTAACACTAGATTGCCCAAGGAAGTCAATTTGATTTTTTTTTAATTTCAATTCGAAAAACAATGATGTATATGATGACACAATTTCTTAGAACTTAGGTGACTTTTATAATTATTTTTATTGTTGATATTTACTAATAACTTGTTATATAACTGAAAATAATATAAAAAATATTAAAAACTAATTTTAAACAAATTTTTTTACTCTTTCACAATGCAGTCACATTTTGACTGCTTTAGGGCAATATAGGTATTTCAGTCTTTCTAGTGTTAAGTTCTGTTGATTCGACTTCATTGATAAAAATCGTTTTCCTACCCTTTGATATTGTTTACCTACATATATTGTTTATTTTTTAATAGATATCTTTTAATGCTTTTATTTTAATAAATCATACGTATATTTATATTTAGTATATGACATCTATAATGATATATCTTACTATATTTTTGCCGCCATTTTTTTAAAAGCAATATTGCAAGAAGGATAAGTTACATTAAATTGAGCTTCGATTAGCAAATAAAGCACGCTCCATTAGCAACAATATTTTGTGCTATTTTAGCTCTAAAACTGATAACATCGAAAAAATTGAAAAAAATATATATTTTGTTCTTTTTTTCTGCCGTAGAGCAAAAAATAGCAATAGTAGTTGGTTATTACATCGATAATTTTGCTACTTCCATCTTGAATTCCTGATTTGTCACCTTTTGAAAAACTCAGAGAAAATTATTTAGTTCTTGAAAAATATGTATCAATAGTAAGGAAACCGAATGAACAGGAATCATAATTTGAAATCAGATTCACCGTCAACAACTATCACGATTATAAATAGTTTAACTCCTGAAAGTATACTAAGAATATGATTGCGATCAAATATTTTGTTACGGGAACAATAACAGTACTATTATTTATGCTACAACAGTACTAATTTTGAACTAAAAGTGAAAACGAATTAACTTCCGTGTTGTTCTAGAATTATTATTACTATTTTTGGCAAAAAACTGAATGCTACTAATTTGCATCAGTACTATAGAAAGGAATTTGTTTAAAACTTATTATAAGTATAATATAAATTGAGCAGATTTTATTATCCCCCGTGGCAGAAACACGGCGACACAGCGACATTGTCGCAGAAAGCAACTGAGTTCTTGCAGAAAGATTTTTTTTATTTGGGAAATAAAAATTTTTGGTTTGCCACAAACAAAAGTTCTCAAAAAAGATTCTGCAGAAACAGAAGCTGTTTTACCAAAAAAAGGAAAAAAAAACATTTTCTACAGAAACAAAAAATTTCTGCAGAAGCAATAATGGTTCTGCAAAAAAATTTTGTTACAGAATTGTTTTAAATAATTTTTTTTCTATCGTACCGCGGAAGGAGAAAGCGCTCGTAATTCTCCGTTAATCTCCAACACAAACAGTTACTGGATAAAAAGGGGAGAATTTTTTTCCCCTTTATGAAGCTATTTTTGGAAATTTGCCATCTTCGGCCTCTATTGCT